ATGAAAAAATGGAAACAAAGTCTTTCTAAATAGGGAGGGATGGAGGGGTTGAAGGAGGGCAGGGGGAGGGGGAAAAATAAGAACCGAGAGAGGTTATGTAAAGGTGCAAATTTCCAGTGATGAATATCATTATATTGTATACCTAAAATGTACCAATAAAATAAAAATTTTAAAAAAGAACAGTCTATCCTATCAAGTCAGGAGCTAGGGATGTATGTTTTATCAAGGCCTCTGGCAAACAATCTAAGAAGGTAGAGGGGTTCTCATCTTTCTCCTGATAAATAGTTGACAATTTAAAATAACTGAAGGGCTTAATTCTCATCTTTCTTAGACTTTCTAGAATACATGCCTGAAAATGTCTTCTAGTCCAACCTCTCATCTGGTTGGCAAGCTAGTGGGGGTCTTGTATAGGGACTGCTTGGTCTTCAGTAGGAACCAGCTGTTCCCCTGGCTGCCCATCTTTGACCTTCTAAAATTAAGATAATATTCATCTCCAAATGTAGTAGCAGCTTATAATACTGCTTGTCTCTCACTAGAAATCAGTGTTTTATTTAAGATAACATTACATCTTTTCAATCTAGTTCATAGGTTTGACTAAATCCTCTAAAGACCTCAATGTACTTATTAGGGTTGTTTGAAAACTTTCCTATGTCTCAGTTGATCTGTCTTAGGTCATTGAGAGGAAAGGACATATGAACCCAGATAGATCCATATGATTAATAATTATATTTTGAACACAAATAAGAAATATTTCTTAATGAAAAGAACTGAACATACAGCAATTCAGACCACTTTTCCTCTTTCTTACAGTACAATTCTAGTTGTGAAATAGTATCATGGTCCCTACTTCTCTCTCCATTCCATTTTGGCTCTAGGGGGTAGGCAGCCCATACATGGGTGCAGAAAACAGCTCTTTTTCAACTTGTGAGGGTCGAGTATCTTCCAGTATTTAAGAATACATTCCAAAGGAGTGAGAGGTTTTGACATTGAGTTCCCCATTTCTGAAACAAGAGAAAGAAATTGGTGTCCCTCTTAATTTCTATTTGATTTTTATATCCTCTAGACATCCTCCAACTTGATTCCACTCCAAGACAGGTAGCTACCATCTGGAGAGAGACTCAAAGGATAAACTAGACTGGACTATTTACCTTTTTACCAGTGCATGATCTCTTCCCAGGAAACTCATGTTCATATTCCCATAGATATTCCTAAAGCACAAGTTACAATTGATCTCAGCTGTAACAATCATGTTTAAAGAAGAAAACATTGCTAGCAAAAGTAATAATCAAGATCTCTAAACCACTAAGTTCTAGTTCTTTGAGAGTGAGGAAAATAGGTCAATGGGCAAATTAGAGCACTTTTTAGCCTGCAAGAGATCACCTCTAGAGACAGGTCCAGTCAAGTATATGGCTCAGAGGGATTCTGCCCTGGGCCGTAAGGTGGAGAAACCTCTAAATCATTTCTGTTACCTACCTAATTTACTTAGACAACCTTCCTGAGCAGCAAGACAAGGCTATACATCATTCAATGTCCATTTAAAAATCACCAAGTATCTGAAACTCACAGGTTAAGCTTATGCTTATCACCTGGTAAACACAATTCACACATTAGTAAAGGCACATTTATCAGTTTCTTACACACACATGAAGGAAGAGAAAGGCTGACTAAAATCCCTTTTTATTCTAGTGCAAGTTGCTAGCTGATTGCTATTTTCCTCTAAGACAAAACAGTTATTGTAAGTTGCCTTCACCTTACTTCCTGGAAGGAGGGGCAGGGGCGATCTGACTACAAAGGTGTTCTAAAGTTAACTCTCAACAAGTTGGAGAAAAGTTTAGAGGAGTTTCTTATCTAGCAGGGATTTGTTAAATCTTCTAGAGAATTACTGTTTCTATCTGTGCCTGGCTAGGAGTCTACCTTACTAGCAGAGAGAGAACAGTCCAAACCTATAGCTCAACTCTTAACAGAGGCTTAAGACAGGACTCTAATGGCATCATTTCAGGTCACTCTGATACAGAGGATACCTGATAATCACTGAAAGAATAACCTTTCACCTCACTGAGGAGTGCAGGTGGGAATGATAGATATGTGGAGATTTTCTGCTGACTACTCAATTGGGCCGTTGCGACCTAATTCCCACCGAGGGCCCTTTCAGTATCCGCCAGAGAGCAGCCCTGGCCATGACCCCTCAGTTGTCACCTCAGTTTTCACTAGTTCCACGAAATCAGAGATCTGTCTCTGGAAAGGAATCTAGTTGCCTGTCCAGTCAACATGCCATTGGCCATTAGCTTCAGTGGGGATGGGGATTCACCAGAGGGTACTTGGAGAAAACTATCCTCTGCTTTGAGAGTGGCAGCTTCCCTAAGGCCAATTACTAGTTTGCAGAGAAACCACAGTTTGATTTTAGCATTCTATATGGGACAGATAAAACTAAAGTGCCTGTACCTGAGATGATTTCATAAAAGACCCATTTTACAGTATTTTCTAAATTTACTTGTAGTTCCCATTAAAGTCCACTAGATGACAGTCTAAAACTACTTTTTCCTAGCACTGTTGTCTACTAAAACAAGGAATGCTAATAAATTCAATAACTTCAGGGATGGGGATTTAGCTCAGTGGTTTCGCCACCTGCTGCGCAAGCACAAAGACCCGAGTTCGATCCCCAGTACCAAAAAATAAATAAATAAATTCAATAACTTCAGTAATTAAGTCCAAATGCAACATATAGAAAACATGAATAAAATGTAATTTTAACAAAAGATAATGCAAAGAGGAAAAACTCGAGGCATACACAATTGCAAGGCATAAGATGTAAAATTTAAGACAATACCTAAATGAGCCACAATCCAAAGTCTATGAAACAAAAGTCAGAATTTATTAAACAAAAGTTGGAATCTATGAAACAAAAGCAAAGTCTTACAAATATATAAAAAAATGCTGAACATCTCTGGGCATTAGAGAAATGCAAATTAAAACAACACTAAGATTCCGTCTTAGTCTGGAAAGAATACCAATTATTAAGAAAGAAATCAATAACAAATGCTGGCAGGGATGTAGTGAAAAAGGAACCTTCCTTCATTGTTGGTGGGAATGCAAACTAGTATGATTATAATGAAAATCAGTATGGAGATTTCTCAAAGAATTGAAGTTAGAAATTCCATACAACCCAGCAATCCCCCCAATAGGTATTTTCCCCAAAGAGGTTAAGACATCATACTACAGCAATAATGCATACCAATGTTTATGCCAGCACAACTCGTGATAGATAAATCCTGGAAGCAGCCTGTATATACCCATCAACAGATGATTGGAAAAAGAAAATGTGGTATCTATATATAATGGAATACTATTCTGCTATAAAGAATGACAGATTTGTGCTTGCTTTGGAAGCACATATACTAAAAAAAGAATGACAGATTTGAGAACATTTGTAAGAAAATGGATACACCTGGAAAATATAATGTTGAGTGAAATAAACCACATACACAAACTTAAATACTGTTTGGTATCTCTCATTTGAGTGAGGCAAGGCACAAACAGAATAAAAAACAATGGATAGAAGGGGACTAGGAGATATATCTCTTGCAATAGGGAAGTGGTCCAAAGGAAAAAGTATGAGGGGTGAGGAGGAGGGAAAGGGGAAATAAGTAGAAGTACAGGCATGGCATATCTTTACTAGGCATACCTAGTAACTCAATTAATTTAAACATTATATGCCATAACATGAGCTAAGATTAATAATATCAACAACAAAAAAATTGGAATAGGGGAATTGGAGGAAGGAGGGAAGGGGAAGAAAGAGGAAGAGGATTGAGATTTTTTTAAAAAAGAAATAAGCTGTCATGTGTACATATAAGCAAGATGATTGTAAACTGCATGAATTGCAAAGATGTACTAATAAAAAATTTTTAATGTTATTATTTGACTTTTGGTTCATGTTTGCCTGCTCTGTGTTTTTTGAGCCTTTTAATTTTAACTTTTCAGTGTCCAGTGGTTTTTAAATAAGTCTCATGAGGAAAATACATTGTTGAGTCTCATTTTTTATTCAATTTGAGACTATTTTTTAACTGGTGAGTTTAAGCCATTTTATTACAATTGCAGCTATACTTGAGAGGCACAGTGAAGCAAGTATGAGCTCCAGATCCAAATTGCCTGGGTTCAGGTCTTGGCTCTGCCAAGTTACTTAAGCAAGTTACCTAACCTCAATTTTCTCATCCTCAAAATAAGGATGATAATAGTACCAATCCATAGACTGGAGGAGAGAGCCAGCAACCGCAGGGAACACTATCTTGGGAAAAAAGAAGCTGACTGGGAGGCCCTGAAATGTCTGCTGCGGAGCTAGCTTGACAGCATGCGTCTTCCAATGCTGGGTTCAACCCTTGCCTCAACAAGTTACAAGCTGAGTCTCTTTGAGCGAATTACAACACCGCTGCCCTTTGCCTCAGTTTCCTTCATGTCTATATTAGGGATAACAATAGTTTCTGCCTTGGTGATGAGTGAAGAATCTTGCAGAACAGAATCTGGCACAGTAAGTGCTGCTCACCTGTCAGCTGGGTGTAGCCGCCAGCGCAAGTTCCCCACGCCTCTGGAGATTTGGAGACTCGACTTCCGGCTCACCGCAGTGGCACTAGTTAGTCCCTGCGAGGGCCGCCCCGGGGTCACAGTAGTGCCTCGGCGCGCATCCTGGGCGCTCTGCCGCGGGCGTGGCTGAGGCCTGCGAGCGAGGAGACGCCCTGGGCCTCTTCCGAACAAGGCAAGACGCGAGCTAACCTCCGACGAGCTGAGCTGAAGCCAGCGCGGAGGGGGCGGCCGCGAGGACGCAGGCCGGGGTCCGCGGGGCTGCGCTGCGCCCTGCTCGGGTCCCGGGCTCTCCGGCCCGCGCGGCGTTGGGAGAGAGGTGCAGGGCCCGGGCCCACCGCGGCCACGCGATGCAGTGCCTGGGCGCCGAGTACGTGGTGAGTACGGCAGCCTCCGCGGGGGAGAGCCTGGGCAGGTCGGCCGGCTCCTGCGGGCACTGGCGGACCGACGCTTTCGCCCCTGCTCCGCGCTGCCGGACCCGGGGACACCTGGCCAGGAGCACCCGGGCCCCATTCAGGTGTGGGGCAGCAGGGAGGGAGACGCGGGCCGCAGGTGAGAGGGGGATGCCAACAGCTGCGCCCCCAGGTAAGAACTTGGCGCCTGGGGGCTTGACACCCACACTGCAGAGGAGGTGTTTCAAAAGCTCAGTGGAAAAGCTGCAGGTGACGTTTAGATAAATATAAATAAATAATAAATCGATTGCTTTGAGCAGTCTTCGAGTTGATTTGGGTTCGGTTGGCACTACCTGGTTGGTTGGTTTCTTTTTCTGAACTCTCTCTTTTTCTGGAAGGTTTCTGAAGAGTCAACTCCCAGGCAAAGAGAGTGGAGACCCCAGATTTATAGGAAATGCACAGATACGGCGTGGTTATTCCTGTTCTTTCTCTTTTGGACTGGTTTGGTAAGTGTGGCTGCTCAGCAGGGAAGAGACAAGTATGTGTTGTGTGTCCCAGAATAAATGTGCCTCAAATGTTAGTTGCTTATAGTTTGTGCTGCAGTGAAAGACTCTGTCATGGACCCAGAATGAACATTAGTCCTTGGGGATTCTTGGTGAGCAGCTCCTATCCTCCTAGACCCACTGGAGAGGCAGGCCACAATCCAGTGGTTAATTTAATATTAATGTATTCCAAACATATACTAATAAAAAGTGAGGAAAGACATGACAATCACAATTTGCAGTAGGATTGTTATTTAGTGAGGCCAACGTGAATTCTTGGAGTAGTTCTTTTACCACCTGATACACCCTTAAATCAAATATTCCTCAAGCTTTTGTGGCCTGTAACAAAGGAAAATCTAGAGAAAGTCTAAAAATGAATTACTGTTATTTTAGCTGAGCTGTGCACACACTCTTGTTGTATTGTGTGCAGCAGTTTGATACAAACCCTCTAGTTAAATGTACAATGACTGGTCCCACTCTATTTCCTGCCATGTGTGATTCCTGGTAATCTCATTAGGCCTTGCCGTGGTAGTCCTAGGGGAGTCTCGTGGAAGCTGAATCTTGACACTTTCAAACTTATTTTAGAGTTGTAGAAACAGCAGAAAAAGCCTCACTCAACTTTTTTCAAAGGCCATGTTCATGAAATCATCCAGGCCAGATGGAGGCATGCTGTTTGCTACGTGGTAAATGATTAATTTATAAAGCCTGATAATAACCACCAGACAGTAATTACCTTTGCCAAACAATTCAATTTGAATAGACCCTAAAACACTGTGTTTATTCTCTTTCCAACTAAGAAAGGCATGTGTTCGTTTGTTGACTTTCCAGACTGGTTTCACATAGACAGACTTGGTTATAGGCGCAGTGGAAGACTGGGTCTGAAAGGCCTACTAGTTTTTTGTCGTTGTTGCTTATACTGTGGCCCTTGAAACTCTCCTCAAGAGGCAGTGCACCTACAGAGCCTTCTGCTTGCTTTCTCCACAGGTGGCTCTTTTTCATCTGACTTTGCTATTGTGTCCGTGTGGGAAGAAGCTGCCCTGGCTTGTGCCTGGCAGCTTTGACCTTGCGCTGTCAATGTTATTTAATGATTTTCCCTAACCCTTCCATGGTCAAACCCAGTGCATCACTTCCATACTCAGCCAACAGCTTTCTGGGGGAAAGACTGTAGGTCACCAATCAGAGCCTGAAGAATTTTGAACTAGCTGAGATATAGCACAGAACTGAAAACTGCTTTAAAATTACATTTCATTTGCAAAATAAGCCTGAAGGTTTCTGGATGCTCAAGTTCTCTTTACTTTTAATGAGACGCTTTCTTAGCTGACTGGCTTTTTGTATCATCTGCAACATTTTCAGCTACAGATCTGTATTTAAAAGAGAACAAGGTGTGTTTTTTCTGCCTGACTTTTCCCCGTCTGGATTCTGTAGTAGGTGTCCTGACTGGTGCTATGCTCGACGGGATTATTCTTTGATGGTGTTTTCCTGAGTTAGGACTGGACAAAGAATACTTCCAATAAAAGTGCCAGATTACAAGCAGGAATTGTCTCTTGCAAATAGAAAGAGCACCAGCCTGTGTTTCTATTTGCATAAAATACCCAGACTAGAAAGCAGATCTCAAGCTTGGGATCATCTCTGCCGAACTTCTTCAGTGGCCTCTCCCAACTTTCCCTTTCCTGTTAACCTCGCAACACTCCATGCCCCTGATCTCCCCAGACAGTTGACCTTCCCGGTGACCATACTACACTACAGGAGGTAGGTATATTACCTACCTCCTGTATCACCTCATTTGGAATTGCACTGTCATGTTTGAAATTAGAACAAGGATAGTTTCAAGTATGAGTAGTGTTATGGCAAGGACTCAGGAAAACCCAAATCCTACTGTTTCCTTCCTTTAAAAACTCTCTTTTTCTCCCCTACAAGCTCTCCAAGGGAGAGAGTACATCCAGAGTCCTGGTAAATGGACAGTAGCAATCCTATTAGATCTGGTCATCTGGGCAGAAGCATAAGACCCTTTTCCTCCCCCTAAGTCAAAACACAATCAGGACTCTACTTATTTACCACACTCCAAGTTGGAAGAACAAAAGACAGACATGTCTAAGGTGGGTCAGTTTGCTATGCCAGCCACATGAGCGCAATGAGTTACATCACATTCACCGCTTTTAAGTAAAGGATGAGTAGCCCTGTCTACTAGCACAAGTGACCTGTTCTTTGTAAAATTTGGTCATTTTGACCAAGGAGGAGCCTGGGCAGGGAGACTCCTCCCCTACAAGGCCTGTGGTTGGTAAGTCCTGCTCTTTAGGGCATGGACTCTGTGTTTCATCTTTGTGTTCCAATAATAGTCTTTGGCACACACTGGGTACTTGAAGAATGTTTGTTATTTTTATTTCCAAAGTAGTAGTGAATGCAGAATATCTGAGACACATTTGTCTTTGGGACAGTGTACCTTTGGGATGTATTTCCATACTGTAAGTTACTGAATGATGTTCTGTAGCCTCTGTCCCAGAATGAACTTGTAAGTATCAAGTGCAGTACTCATGGTATTCTGTGTATTGTAGATTGGGAAACTTGCAGCACTACATTTGTGTTATGAGAAGAAACTTATTCAATCTTAACAGAAGGTCTGTCAATATGTATTCATGGAATAGTTGTTTGAACTGAAATATCAAATATTCTACATTGGGTAAAAATGATTAATGATTGCAAGATATTCTTGTCTGACAGAATTTCCAAAATAACTTTTTCTTGGGTTCTTTGTTTTTGTGACTTTTAAGCAGTTGTTCCAAAATACTGTTTTCAGAGTCGTTTTGAACCATGTGTTCATACATATCAACTATGTGGCCTCTACAGAGTTCACTAAAAGTAAGACAAAAAGAAAATTTGCAAAAGAAGAAAGGGAAAAAAACCTCAGGGAAATAATTAGCATAGCCTTGATGCACTTAAATAAACCAAAAACCTCAAGAAAAAAATTGAGTTGTCCCAGTGAAGTTTAGCCCAAAATAAGAAGTGACAGACTCTTGAAGAAGAAAGTAAGAAGACAGGCAAAAAAAATGGAGAGGAATCTGAGTGCTTGTGGATGATCTTCCACCTAACCTGCTAGAACCAGCCGGGAAATACCAGGATCCTGAACAGTCTGTGTTACTGCAGAGGAGAGGGGAAGTACTGTGGAGCTGGAGAGACATAACGTTTCACATGGTTCCACTTTCCATCAACATCTTCTGGGATCTGAGGGACAGTTTTCCTCCCTGTGGCCAGGCCCTCACATGCCCTGGGTTTTGCTAGATGTTCATCATGGGCTACTCGGTGGTGGCTGGAGCTGCAGGAAGACTCCTCTTTGGCTACGACAGCTTTGGCAACGTATGTGGCAAGAAGAACTCCCCGGTGGAAGGGGCCCCTCTGTCAGGACAGGACATGACCCTAAAAACGTAAGTGTCTGTTAAGTCCCCAACTATAGAGGGGCTGCATTTCAGAACTTCATACAACTGAGTCATTTAGAGCTTGAAACTGTTTTCCTAACCAAAACTCTTAATCCATCTCATAAAAAGGGAGGCCGGCTGTGTGGTACTAAGAGCACCGTTGTAGAATCAGCCAATCCTAGGTTCAGATTCAGTCTCTGCTACTTTCCATTTCTGTGTCCTTGGGCCAAATCCTTAGCCTCTCCTTTTGAAACTGGTAAGATATTTATCTTACAAGGTCGTTTTAAGGATCCACCGAGATACTGTGTGAGTGAGCTCAGGCATAATGTTCAACGTTAGCATTATTATCCATAATGTATCAGAATCCCAAAACCACAAGTGGTGTATGATTCCACTTATGTAAAATGTCTAAAGTAATCAAACTCATAAATGAAGTAAAATGGTGTTTGTCAAGGGCTGGAGGAGAAGGGAGATGAGGAGTTGTTTAATGGGAACAGAATTTCAGTTTTGCAAGCTGAGACAAGTTCTGTGGATAGATGGTGGTGACAGCAGCACAACAGTGTGAATACTCAATGCCACTGAGCTGTGTATTTAAGATGATTTAAAAAAATTTATGGGTATCTTAACACAATTTTTTTTAAAATGTAAAAGGAAATATATGTTTAAGAGACACTGGAAATCTGTTCCCCTCTCCTCTTGTCCTGCCTCCCCTTCTCCCTTTTCTAGCTGGGAAGAAAGTGGCTTCTGGACGCTGTCTCAGGGTCCCTCCCATGACAGGCGACCTGCAGCAATTCTTCTGACATCCCACAGCAGCTGGATAAGCACTGGGCACCCAGAGCTGCCACCACCAGCCCAGAATCCATTAATGGCAACAACCAGCTTTGTTCATGTGCCTAGACTTACCCAACTTCTGAGTGATGTCAAGAAAGATTGCCTCAGAGTTATGACTCTTAAATTGCCTTTAATTCCCAGCCTCGGGTCCTTCTTTTCCTCTTATTGTTTCCCTGTATTCAGCTCTTCTCAGACGCGTATTTGAACACTCTTGCGTACAAATATGCTTTATAGGAATTCCTTTGAGTCCTTTTTGCATGGGCAGTGCCCTAACATAAGCTTCTTTTTCATCCATCTCCTTAGATACATGTTCTTTATGAATTCCTGCAACCCAGAAATCAAAGGTAAGAGGCTTGGTTCCACTGCCCTCTGTGTGTCCAGCTGTCCTGAAGAGCAACTCAGCACCCTAGAAGAGGTCCAGCTCTTTGCAGACACCAATGGTAGGTACAAGGGGCTGGCTCCCTCCCACAACTCCTATTATACAGTAAGTCTGTGAGCACCTAGAGGATTAAATTACACTGACCTTGCTTTCTCTGGAAAGCTGCAAATTATACTTCTTCACAGGTGACTCCTTTTGTGTGGAAGACCAAAAGCATTTTCTCATGAACTTGCTCAGTTTCGTTGGTCTGTCTGTATTTATCAGAAACTCAGGTTGCTCTGCATGTGCTCCCTGCTTCCCACAACAAAATGATCATTCCCAGAGAACACAGAGGAGACAGCAGACACTGAGTCCAAAGGCTTCAGGTCGAATTGTGTATGTTCTTTGATGAAACTGTTGGAAGCCAGTGGATGCTTTCATTGACCAACAGGATAGTTGTAAATTGTACCCAAAACATTTGTGTAACTGAAGTAACTTGCTGTGGGCCCATTATTTAGATCTAAGTCCTAAGGCTTAAACAAAGGAAAGTAAAAGAAATTTGAACCAGCCCACTGTAAATTTTATGTGCCCAACAAATAGAAGACTAGATTTCTAAAAATTATTTGCAAAACTGGGTTTAAAAACATCAAGGTCTATAATGATCTTCAGATGACCTTCAAATTATTTTAGTACCAATCATATAACTTTTAGTTTTGAATTGGGGTTTTTCGAGAGAACTCTGTCCCAGTTTGTGTGTGTGTGTGTGTGTGTGTGTGTGTGTGTGTGTGTGTGTAAGTCACCTGTTTTCTGAATTGTAGTAAGGTCTTCTGTCCCCTTTCTGGCTTGGTAAAATCGCTGTGGTTTCTTATGAGCTCCCCTAGGAAGATGTGTACAGTATAGGAAAATAGTACAATCTGCATGTCTTCTCTTCCAGGGTCTTTCCTATGTGTCTATAGTTTGAATTCCTTCAACTACACACAGAGTCCAAATGCAGATTCATTGTGTCCCAGGCTACCAGTTCCTCCAAGGTAAAAACTTCCATACTTCTTCCTTATCCATTAACAAAATTATTGAGTACTTGTGAAAATCTGTTACTCTTCTAGGCATAGTGGAAAGCAAGAGAAGATACTAGGTAGAGCCCTGCAGGGAGCTTACAATCCACAAGAGGCCAGGAGCAAATAAGGAGGAACTATTTGCAATATACATAATGAACAGTGAATTAGTAACCAGGCTAAATAAGGAGAAAACTCAGCAAACAATAAAGATATATGAAATGTATTATATACCTAAAATGTACCAATAAAAGATTTAAGAAAAATAAATAAATAAAGATATATGTAATAACAATATAGAGCTAGCAAAAAATAATATATTAGGCTTTACTAAGTGAGTAATTTTATAAAGTAATTGGTGTATATTTTTCTTCTCCAACTGTTTATTTCAAAGCAGAAATCATCTACATTTGCTTTTTCATTGTGACCGCACATTATTAGTTTTTATGATTCTAGATTCCTGCATAAGAAACAAGCATGAAAAGCCAGGTGTGCTGGCGTACACCTGTAATCCTAGCTACCTGGGATTGCAGCATCAGTGGTAAGCACTAAGGGGCCACAGTGGGGATCACAAATTTGAGACCAGCCCGAGCAACTTACCTAGACCTTGTCTCAAAATAGAAGAATAAAGTGGTCTGAGAATTAGCTCAGCAGTAGAGTGGCCCAGGCGCCATCTCTAATAACTGTACTGCCACAAAGGGGCCCATGAGGGCAGGGCCAAGGGATCCCCCACCTTTCTTCTCAGTGAACACGGAAAGTCCTTATCAAGAACATACTGGCTGGACTCCTCACAGAGTCTTACTCTTTCTACCAGTTAGCACCTTACGAGTATTTGTACAGCTGCAGTGATGAAGCAGCGATGCCAGGCTCGATGGCCTGTGTTTGCATCATTGAGAAGGCTAAGGGGAAAGAGCACAGCCCATTGCCACCATCAGGGTGCTGAGATCTACTAAAGGAGGATGTGGATTGACTTTGCATTGCCATTCTTTTGAAAAATGTGAGTATGTGTACAGAGAATAAGAATTCTGCAAAATCCATGAGAAATAATGATTTAAGTAAAACAAAGCATTTTGTGCCCAACCATCTAGGACTCTGTTTATCAAACAGGTCTGGACTGGGACCCACATAAAAAATTTATTATATCATATTCCCAGTACATACAAACCTTCATACTTAGGAATATAAAACTGAAAGAGAAATGTCACCAAACAAGACCTCTCTTACTACATATGAGTCATAATAATAGTTCCTAATCTACTGCCCTTCAAAAAAAATAATTTACTTCATAATCTTCTAACTGGTTGCAAGTTCAGCTAGAAAAATGCTAATTTTGCAGTTACTCCAGAAAGACTCAAGTGAGTGTTAACTACATAGGAGGCAGAATATACTTAGCTATCTTGGTGGCATTTTTTTCTAGAATTAATACTTACAGATCATCAAAGGAAATTATTTGCAGAGGAAAGTACTTATTCCATTTTTTTTTTAACTCTAGCTATTGTCAGATACCATAATCATGTCTAAATTAAGCATAATTTAACCCAGGGAAGGAAAAAACTAGAAGCTATTATTTAACACTTGGAAAGCAGGATTTTTTAGAAACACTAATTTGTAACTGTACTGGCAGATAAGATTGAAAAAGAATGGAATTGTTAAGGTTGCTATTTAAGCAGAGTTTAGTATATGTGCTGCCGAAGCAAGCACTAAGCAGAGTTTAATAAACTCTCCTCTTACTGTAACTAGAATGACAATTATAATTGCATGGGAAGCTTATATCTTTTCAGTGATGATCAGAGCAATCATATTGAACTTTTGATTTTTGCCAGGTACTTTTTTCTAAGCTCTTGAAAAACACGTGTATTAACTTAGTGGACCTCACAAAACCTGCTGTAGGTATTGTTTTCATCGTGGTTTTATAGCCAAGAAGACTGATGCAGAGAGAGCTTAAGGTACTACAGTGAGCAAGCAGAAAAGCTGATGTTCAAACCCAAACAGTGTCCATATGTGTTTCTGTCATCCAGTATAAACAGTCAGGGCTGGATTGACTGCCTGGCAAGTGACCTTAGGCTCACACCAAGCTGAGAAAGAAAAATGTCCAGGACCACGTGTTCTCGGGTCACCATCTCTTCCTCCTCTCAAGCCAGTCCTTTCACCCTCACTTCCAATACTAGTTTTTCCAATGAAGACAGAGCTGTTGCTTGGCCTTTATTGGACATAGTGAGCAAGACCAAAATAGGCCTGAGCACTCCATTTCCTTTTCCTACACAAGCAAGTGTTTGTTTAAGACAGAAATTATCATATTTATCATGGAAGAGCAGTGCCAAGATTTAAAAGCTAGAAAACATGAGAAGTGTGGCTGTAGAGCCAAAGAACATTTTCTAAATATCTCTTTTTGACCACACTGATTGTATTTCTTCCTCTGTTGATCATATGAGGTACCCTTTTAGAGGAATAGCTGAATATCAAGAAGGTTTTATACCTAGTTATGAGCTTTTAAAAACAATGAAAAAGCACTGATGAAGATAACAAGCAAGCATATCTTTCTCTTTTTGGTATTCAATGTAGTACTGCACTTTGAGCTAAAAGGCTTAAAGTCCCTCCACCCCACTGCAGGTTCTACTTTGAACCTCCCACATAGGTGCCTGTGCTTGGCACTGCATTGTTTGCTCAGAGAAATTCCACATGCCTAAATATGCAGGCAGCTCTCCAGATAACTTCTTGCTAAGTTAGAGTGGCTTTGCTAGTGGTAAGAAGAAAAGCAGAAATGAGGATGAAACCTCAGGCTGTGGCCTAAAGTTCAACCCTGCCTGAGTTAATGACATACTCAGTGGGCAGCTAGTCAACCCCAGCATGGGTGGTCCAAGCTTTACATATTTTTCTTTGTTACTTTTGGGGTTAAGATGGGTTACTCTTTACCAGCACATGGTTATTTAATGCCTAAAAGGCACCATAGTTAACAAAACTCTGTTGACAAAATTAAGGCCTTATGGATAATTGGAGGCAAAACAAATGAGATGGCATTAAATCTATAGCTGATTTTAATTTTCAGAAACACCAAATGAAAGCTCAGAAAACATTTGCTTTAAAAACATTTCAGGAGGGGACTAGAAGTAATATAGAGTGCTTACCTAGAAGTTTGAGACCCTAAGTATGATTCTCAGCACCATGAAAAAAGAAAGAAAGAAAGAAAGAAATTAGATTTATAGGTGTTAAGAGTCTGTTTAGCAGTGGAAAAGAAAAAGAAATTAAAGGTTTACAAACTGGAAAGCAGGAGGTAAAATTACTGTTCTGCAAATGGTGTGATTATAGAGCTGGAAATGTTAAAGAATTAACTGAAAAGCTCCTGTGAACAATAAGAGAACTCATTTAGGGGGCAAGCAAAAGATTAATATACTGAAATTTGTACATCCCTGTACTTTAAAAAAATCTTCCTTGTACCACAGCAAGAAAAAAAACCATAAAAGTGCCTAGAAGTCAGTTTAACAAGAAATATATAAGCACTGTAGGAAGAAAACCTGAATATGTTCTTGGGCATGAAGAAAATTTGAACAAATGGAAGGGCTTACTGTTACAATATAACTCAATAGTACAAAGATATTATTTCTCCCCTAAATTGATTTATAAATTTATCATGATTACAATAAAAATAAGATGATTAGACCCAAATATATTTAGAAATTTAGTACTCTATATGCCAAAACTGGCATCTCAAGTCAATGACAAAGGATGGACTATCCAACAAATGGTATTGCACAACCAGGTAGGCATCCAAGAAGAAAAGTTGGATAAATTCCAATTTATCCATGCCTCCTATGGATAAATTCCAAATGGATTAAGGGTTTTCAGGCATAAAAATGAAACCAGAGTCAGGTGTGGGGCATGCCTGTAATCCCAGGCTTTAGGAGGTGGAGGCAGGAGGATCACTGCAATTTTGAGGCTAGCCTGGGGTGCACAGTGAGTTCAAGGCCAGAGCAAGACTTTTTCTCAAAAGCCAAACAAAAAAGAGAGAGAAAGAAAAGAAAAATGAAGCCAGAAAGTACTGGAAGAAGCCAGGAGAGAATTTTTTAATAACCTGAGAGTAGGGAAGGCTTATAACTATGATGTAAATATCATAAAACAAAAAATTTGGTAAATTTGACTACATTAAAAAACATTTTTGTGTGATTAAAAACACTTGAAGCAAAGTTAATAGACAAATAGTTGCAATTCATATAAGAGATTCATTTTTCCAATTTATGAAAGATTTTACAAACCAACTTTTAAAAGACCATTATCTCAGTATAAAAATGGCATATGAATAGATGCTTCAAAGGAAAAAGAATGTTTCTTAAATATAGAAGAGGCTGGACTGGCTACCGTGTTCTTTCCCAGTAGCCTTCTCTCATCCTGTAGGGTGCACTTCTTTTCTACTTTTACTTGGTTCAAACTCACTCTGCAGAGCCTGTTTCTTTTCCTATCTTTACTAAATGAAAAGAAAAATAGAAGAGGCTGGACCTCCCTCTTAATAGGGGGCATTGCATCTAAGTCCCTAGTGTTTTTCCCCCAGCTGACCGTCAGTCTCCAGGGTTGAATGACAATGCTGTGTACTGGGTAAGACTGTGGGGAGCTGCCAGTTTCACGTAGTGCTGACACAGCGTCCTAAGGAGGGCAGTTCATCAGTATCCAGCAGTTATGAATGCACAGAGCTTTTAATCAAGCAGACCTGCTTCTAGAAACACAATCTACAGCTATGCCTGAACCAGTGTGAAGTGGCATTTGTGCATGGTTATTCACTGCAGTGTTTGTAATAGTAAAAACTCAAAACAAGCCTAACTGGGTCTCAAAAGAGGGCTGCTTATCAGCCACTCAGAGTTCTGGGATTGCTTAAATAAATTATGGTACATAATGTAACATTACTTAGCTTTTCTTTTTTTAAGAGACTAGAAAATGAGGGATAGCTGAGAAATTTCTCAGTCAGATAAAGAACACCTATGAGAAAT